TTTTTTGGAAAAACGCTCAGACCCGTCGGTTTTGTTTTCGAGGGGGACACAAGTTTAGCAAAAAATCACGTTAACACGTGCAGCCTCCTCGGCGAGGGTGAAGCCAACCCTAAAATCTGAAATGGAAAGGGGGGTCGAGTGATACCTTATTTTAAAGGTCTTTCAATTACCTTTATAATGATGTAAAATACATGAGCTTGAGTTCAGCAGTTTTGAAGACTTATTGATTTAAAGCTTAAAGTAGACTTTAATAGGTACTTCAGATTAGTTTGTACTACTTTCAGAAGTAATTTGACTAAAAGAATTTACTTAATAAGTAAATGCTTTTCTTCACTACGTCCATGGTTTGTTTATCATTTTGCTATTGAAAATAGCTGTTGGAGCGTTTTTTTGTGGCAAAAAAGATATTTATTGAAGAAAGATATGGAAATATCTCGTACTTATTTTAAATAGGAATTTACTACATAGTTTGCGATTGATTTGACCAAACTTTGTTGCTAAAATATCTTGTAACGCTTTATTACATAAATTAACCATGGTATATTCCACAGCAGAAAGAGTTGAAACTATCGAAATATTTTTCGGAAATAATCAGTGCGCTAATAGAACAGCAGAAATATTTAATGAGCGACATGAGAACAGTAACGTGCATCGAAAATATGTTCTAGAACTTGTAGCTAAATTCCGGGAAACTGGGTCAGTCGCCAATAAAAAACGCAACATAAGGAACCAAGCAATAGAAGTGGGGGTTTTAGGGCAAGTTTATGTAGATCCTACGTTAAGTACCTGCAAATTTGAGACTGTGTGTGGTGTTAGTCGACGTACTGTCCAACGGATTCTAAAGGCCCATAGTTTTCATCTGTATAAAATTCACCTGGTACAAGAACTTAATGAAGACGATTTTGATCGGCGATTACAATTTTGTGAAGATATGAGTGAACGAATTATAAACGATGAACATTTTCTATTCAACACTTGCTTTTCCGACTAATGTTCCTTTTTCTTCAATGGCCTAGTAAATCGTCATAACTGCCGATATTGGTCCGATTCTAATCCCAAAATTTATCATGAGGTTCATACACAGGAGCCACAAAAATTAATTTAATTTATTTGGTCCTTTTCTCTTACCTGGAACTTTGACCGGTGATATGTATTTGGAATTACTGGAAGACGCCATAGATCCTGCATTAACAGCCATAATTGAAAATCAGAATGAACGGCGGTACATTGCGGATAGGTTGATGTTCCAACAGGATGGTGCCCAACACATTAAGCATTACGTGTTCGACAATATTTAGATCAGACGTTTCCAGATCGATGGATTGAATGGCCCCCAAGATCGCCAGATTTATCAACTTTGGATTTCTTTATGTGGAGTCATTTAAAAAGCAACATCTATGCTACTCAGCCAACATCATTAGAAGACCTGCGACAAAGAATTGTGAATGAGTGGCTTCAAATTACTCCTCAAATATTGCAAAATCTGCGGCAACGTTTTGAGCAAAATCTTTATTATTGCATGGAGATTCATGGTGGCCATTTTCAACATTCACATGCCTAACGGGTCAGTTCATTCTTCATTTTAAAATTACTTTGCTGCCAAATGTATTGATCTTTACTAATGATGATGTATTAGTTCTGTTTAAGCTTTAAATCAATAGATCTTCAAAACTACTGAACTGAAGTACATTAATTTTATATGATTATAAAGGGAATTGAAAGACCTTTAGAATAAGGTATCACCCGACCCCGCTTTCCATTTAAGATTTTGGGGGTGGTGTCACCCCCGCTTAGGGGGCTGCACGTGCTAACGTGATTTTTTGCCAAACGTGTGTCCCCGTCGAAATCAAAATCGACGGATCTGAGCGTTTTTTCAAAAAAAAACTGAGCTGCCATTAAATGCGTCTGTGTTGTTTTCGATGCGCCACCCTGTATATAATAAAGCATCACTCGTCAAATAGTATCGGCGTACTCATCATTTTTAAATTTCATTTTACAGCACCAGAAATTGGAAAAAAGAATCTTTTGACTTGAATGATCTTATTTTCCTTTATTTCTATTTTTACGAAAACACTGCACTCTAGGAAAAACACAAGAGTAATTAATTGTAGCAAACTAACGGTAATATTCGAAAAATTGCGCGTTTCGAAAAAAAAAAACAGTGGCGTACCTACTATTTTTATTTAGAAAAAAAGGCCAGCAATCCCCTGTATTTCCGCCACTGGTGCAATTTTAGTTTATTCCAGTTGATATTAAAAACATTGTTTTTCATTTGTAAAGTTAAACATGGGGAAAAATGGAAAAAATGTTACATAGAAAACCCTCCTTAAAATGTTTCATTTTTTAGTCACGACTTGTGAATCACCTTGTATATGATATATACAAAATGGTACTTGGACAGCTTCGCAATCCCGAATTCCTCTTGAAAGGCAAAAGAAACGGGATTTGCCCAAAATTGTTTCTATTTCAATTTTATTCAATTAATCATAGCGTCGATAGGAATTTCTTAGCCAACCTACTAGCGATATATTTCTTAAGATACTAATTTGATATAAAATATCCTTCATCCAACGGCGGATCCAGGATTTGTGTCTGGCAGGGGGGTCACAGTGGTCACAAAACTTCATGTTCAGGAAGATGTTCTTCTCGTCTTTCTTCGGGAAGGGGGGGGGGTTACATCAGTGCCTCTGACATAAAAATTAAAAACTAGACTCGCGGATGGATGGCAGATGACAGCCCTACCCTTGTACTCTTAGGGTACAGCCTAAAAGTGATTAAAATATTAAATCTAATTTAAACATGAACGATTTATTGTTAAAGAACAAAATTCTTCTTTTTTGTCTTCCTGCGAATCGATTAATATTAATACTTACCATGTCCTTTGAATCCAGTGCAACAACTTTTTTGTGGTTTTGTCAGTCACAGTGGCGAATTTAAGTAATGGCAAAATTGATATTGCTGCCGCATACCCCCCCCAGTTTCACGAGCATGTATTTTTCGGAAAATCGTAATTATACTAATGGTAGCCCGCTAGATTATTTGAAGTTCATGATTGCAAACAATTTTGTAGACAGTTTTCTAGAGAGCTGCAATTTATTGAAATTATTTTTGACTTTGCCTATCGGTTCAGCTAGTGCTGAACGTGCCATGACCTCTTTGAAAATTATTAAAGGATACCGTGGAGCTTCTTTGGCTAAAGATACACTCAACAACTTCTCTAAACTCTATATCGAAAGCTTAGTAGCTAATACACTCAATTTGGATTCTGCGATAGAAGTTTTTGCTGATCGGATTCAAATTAGACTAATTCTGTTATTTTGTATTGAATAAAAAAATCTTTGATCTCACAGTCTCTACTTGATTCAGGTTGTATAGACATATAGTAAAAAAACAGAGGTAACAGTGCGCAGCAGCTACTATTGTGCATATAATTGTATCTCCCTGTTAATATGTGACATCCTTATTGCCAGCAAAATATGTAGTTCGAACTTTATCTGAACAATTTAGATGGATTTTACGTTATCGAAAAATTTTAGATCCACGTGAATATTGAAACAGTTGAATTTGCTGTTTTATTGGTACGTTCAAGCAGCATCAGACTAACTTCTTGCATCAAATTACTATTAAAAAACTTTTTGCACTATCCATGAGTTTTTTATTTGTGCAGGTCTTTCTAATTTTTTTATTCTCAGTTGCCGTCATTAATTTGCAATTAGCGATAAATGTGGAGAATATCTTTCGCAAATAGTGCCCAGTATATATCCTGTAGCAATGCACGTTATTTAACGTATTTTAGTGTTGTTCACCAAGTTTGTATTCAATGAAATATTAATCACGACAAACATGACAACAACTATCCATCATATTTGTTTTTTTCCTTAATTATAATTTTATGCAAATTCTATAAATAGCGTGCACTCCAAATTTGACTCGACGCCCTTTTCTTATCGGTACCATGCGTGATAACTTTGAAACTCTATTATGCACAAGAAGTTTGCCCGTGCGCACTATTATTACATTAGGCATTAAATTTTGATATTATTTTCTGAGTTATCATGCAACTTTCAAAGTTTCCATTGCCGTATTTTATTTGTCAATAATTGCAGTAATTTATGTTCGCAAAACAGTTATAGTGCGCACTATTTGCCGTCTGTCCCCGACGCTTAGGTATAGGGTTTCCTTTCAAACGTAGCTAGATGATACCAGGACCTTTGAACATGTTATAATCAGCTAAAGTCTTAGAAAGAAGTTAAGTTCGAACATAACCAACAAAGAAATCCAATGGAGCGAGTCAATTAGTCCTTGAGGTTGAGACCCTGTCGGCCTCTTAAAATTCGCATATCTACTTATGTGTGCAATATACAAGATGTAAATATTTTGCTTGGGAAAATTGCTACTTTCCGATCTTCAAAACTTTTTTGGGGGCTGATACATAATCCAAATATACAAAAGTTTATTTTACAAGTTTTAGAATAAACAGGCAGACCAACAGAACCATGAAAATGAGTGACACGGTTTTGCTTGATGTACAAGTACATACATGTCGTATAACATAAAAAAAATCTCATTTTCGAAATTTGTCGCGATTACAATCCTTCATCGCCAGTGGCGTGGGAAGTAAAATCTATCAAAACGTTGCAAAGTCAATGATATGAGCTTTAACTGCTTTCATAATTTTTCTTCAAAGAAATCGAAAATCTGTATGATGATAAAAGCTGAACTGGCACCGCGATCAAAGTTTAGATATCCAGATATTAAGGAGAAGCAACTATTGATAGTCCCTATCAAAATCACATTTAAATGTAATATAATACGATAACTGACAACGAAACGACAAATAATAATAAATCAAGCTCGTCGAATATAGAAAACTCCTTTATTAAATATTTAACCGATAAACGATAGGAAGCCACCCAGTTTAAGACACGTGTGAAGAAAAAGAAAATAACTGTTCTAGCAGGACAAAGTATTGCCCATTCTGAAATTAGTTTTAACTGAAGCATCTACCGTATAAAGACGTTGAGCCAGAAATCATAGAAGATGTTTCAGAGGAGGATATTGGTTTAGACCATCAATTACCACTGAGCAGGAATTCCTCAGATGAAATAAATGAGCTCCAAGAGATGGAAGAAGAAATTGAGTTCAACCAAAAACTTGCCTCAGGTTCCCTTGGAACAAGTATTGCTGAAAAAGTGAAAAATTCTGGATTGGGAGAAGTTAAAAAGTTGTTGGTGAGTACGTTTTATTTTGCTATGAAGATCATGTCTATCCTGGAGTGATAACAGCAACAGAAAACGATGGCCTAATGACTAATGCCATGACGAAATCGCTAAAGTTTTGGAAATGGCCAGAAAGACGCGACGAAATATGGTATTCGTGGGACAATGTAATTGGCGCAAAAACCCTCCCAAGAAAATGTCCAGACGAGGATTGTATATTGTTCCAGAATGTGACAAATTGTGGTGGGACTAGTCTCAAACTTTGTATTTTTTTATTACCATTATAATAAAGTTTGTTAATTTAAAATGTAGCAATGTTGTTTCAATATTCATTACTTTTATGCTAATTTCATTAATATAGGTAAGCTTAAATAACAAAAATTGGGTCCACGAACATTTTTTGCTTTCAGTTGGTGCAAAGTTCAAAATTCTACAGCGTTACTATGCACCAGTAAGCATTTCGTAGTGAAATATTAATAAAATATCGGGTGGTGCAAAGTATCACTCTTCTAGGGTATACTTTGCACCAGTAACAAAACTAATTTTTTTTCTTAATTTTGCAATAAACGTAAAATAAATCAAGGTTAGAGCTGTATTATAACCCGTTTAATAGATGTTTATAATAAAAAGTTCAGATCTCCTTCCGAATAACGTTACATCCATTCTAAGAGAATAAAACCCTAAAAAATGGTGCAAAGTAACCCCATTTTACGGTAACTATTTTTGATGGATGTAATTATTAAATGCAATTATATAATTGAATTATTATAAATGGTGAAAAGATTTACCTTTGTGCTATTTATGTGAATTTCAGTATGAATATATTATATTAAAAGAAAATAAGAGTCTGCATTATTGCGTGATCCCTTTGAAATAATAATATAAATACATTGTGAAAACTAAGGAAAAAGGCAGTAAATTTGCAATTGCAAAGTACAGTCCTTTCACTGAAACAAACCAGTTGTGTCATATTTAGTAAATTTGAATGTCAACCTTAATGAAAAATATATCCTAAATTGGTACGCATAATTTGAATTTCCCGGGTACATTTATGTTGGTAACAGTTCTGTGTTGTAACATTGTCGCAAGGCTGGTCAGGTAATTACGCCAACGGCTGTTGTTTATTTGTAGTTTATTTTCGTTCTTTTTCCCTCAATATTTGCATTGTTATTTCATAAAGACAGTTCTTTTCAATACTTTGAGGTGTCCTTCCAAGCATTTTGATAAAATGCCGAGACCGCTGGGTCGACAAGCAGAAGGATTCGTCATTTTTGTGACGATATATTTTGAGACAGAACGAGATCATGGAGCTCCATTATTGCCTTTACAGTTTGTATGAGGGGTATTAGGTAGTAAATAGAATTTATACTATACTCTAGGCGCTGAAGAAAGAAACTAAACCCAAACAAATACACGCATATTGCCCGTGAGTGAGTGTTTAGGCGCAGGAGACATTACAGGACCGCATCAAGATATTATGGGTAGTCATCAAAAATTTCATACAAGTTAATTATTATCTTTTACAGTAAATTTCAGTTAGAGATTCACAAATGAGTTAACTACACTTTTTAGTTATTAGTAAGTAAGCTGCGCGCACTCATTCAGAAGAGGAACTTGAATCTTCTGAATCGTTTAAATGAATTATTAGAGGTTCAATTTGGGTATCGATGACATTGTCCAAATCCCACATTTTGACCTCAACCTTCTCCCGAACGTGGCGGATACAGGTTTTAAATTCCTCTGCCGTAACTCTATTGACTGCGATGTGAAAGAGATTTTTAACATCAGAAAATTTATAAGTATTATTATTCGACGCCACGTATTGCTTTATGTTGGCCCAAATCAGCTCAATAGGGTTCAGCTCACAATGGTAGGGTGGCAGTCGCAAGACAGTTTTATTTTGTTTTTTGGCCATTTCGTCGATCATTTTAAAATCGTATTTGTATTTATGTCTATTGACTATACTTATCAATTCACCCTTGACCATTGTTTCATCAAAATCGATCTGTTTTGAGGCCAGCCATTGTTGTATGTTTGCTTTTTTAGTTGCCATTGTGGGAATTTTTTCTATTTTTCTAGAATGGTACGGGGCATTATCCAGTACAATAACAGCGTTATTCTCCAGCTTTAGTAACATTTTGGAGAACCAATTTTCAAAGGAATTGCCGTCCATCTCCTCATGATAGTCCCCTGTCTTTTTTGATTCAAAGGCCCACAGTGCTTCGGGAACAAAGCCGTCTTCACTACCTACGTGACAAATGATCAGCCGTTTGCCTTTTCCTGGGAATAAATTATTCCTTACACTATGGATTGATTAAATTTGAAGGAATGAGGCAATTGAGTTCATTTAGCTGAATTTAAGAGTCACGGAATGCTGATCAAAAACTGAAAAACGTAGAAAATTGAAGTTTGCAACTTCTCAAAACCCATTCAAAGCAAATTGACTGCACCCAAAAATGATAATAAATTTCAAAATAACGCTTAAAAGAGGGTCGAAGTTTTTTTCCTAATGACTACACTGCGAATGCACCATTTTTGGAGAATATCACACATTATCTGCTATCACAGCATATTATTTGCCCGAATTTATCAAAATTAAATTGCCGGATAGATGAAGGAGCTTACCTGCAGGATTTTTCAATCCAGCCGAAAGACCGTCTAGAAAAGCCTGCCTTGATGATGTTACTGATTTGTCGACCCAAACTTTCGCTTGAGTATGTCCAGCATTCACCCACGTTTCGTCCAAATAGTAAATTTTTCTTTTTTCATCGCGAAACTTCCGAATCTTCCTAAGGTATTCCCTTCTCCACACAACAATTTCTTCTTTCTCTATTAACATACTGTTTCTTCCCCGTTTCAAGAATCGAAAATTAAGTTCCTTCAAAAGTTTTCGGAATGTGGTTCTTTTGAATGATGGAAGATCCTCATCAGCATTAACTAATCTTAATATCTTATCTACTGTAGGTATCTCATTTCGGAAGAAAAAATTATGCACTTTCCTTCTGATGGCAGTTCTGTCAAAGTCATCTACTCCGTCCGTTATCCTTTTTCTTGCAGGATACGGTTTTGGCTCAGAAAGTGAGTGAGTGCTCCTATATTCCTTAATGATGCTATAAACACTGGACCGACATACTCCAGAAATATGTGCTACCTTACATATAACTTCGTCCACGACCAAATCGGGTTTTTCTTGAATTTGGTTTTTGTATATATTTAATATTATTTGTTTTTCATTTGCACTTAAATGTAGCTTCTTAGCCCTTTTTTTGGGTGGGGTTGCGCTGATATCAACCACTTCGTCGGCTGTATCTGTGTCAGACATCGTATCTTAGGCAATATATAAACAAAACGTTCCACTCGCGAAAAACGAGTATACGCTACTGAATGCGTAATGCGTATGCAATGCAATCCTGTGCGTGAATTAACTGTTAGATGCCTGTCGTGTCATCTACAATCACGTTTACAAGTCCAAACCTGTGCAGATTCGTAGAGCGCCGACGACTGCTAGTGACCTTGAATTTGTCTGTAGATCGATGTTACTCCAGTCAATTTAGGTTCAAAGTGGATGTTTTCTAAACCAATTTGTTGTTCCTACATCAAAAATATATCGATGATGTTTTGTACTGGGAGCTCATGAAAGATCAAGGTAACTTATTTTAACAGTCATCCTTTTTCTAGTCTCAAGATGACACGAAAAAGGGTCTGTGGATTCACTAGAAATACACTGCCGAGGATGTTTAGACCTAAAGTGACTGGAGTATATCCGTGGATGCTTTCGAGGGATCTGTTCACGTGCTGATCACTGTTTACGTTTAATGTCTTTCTTCAGCGCCCAGAGTTTAGCTCTAGCCTTTACAAAACATGCGCTCCGTAATGTTGGTTGCGGTAAGACATCGAGGACATAAAGTAGATTTTATAAAACGCCCTGGGATCTAGTAGTTTTAATTGTGCGTCACTATCATTATTTGATGTTGTGACGTAACTACTTTGATTCATTCAATATACCGTATAAAAGCAGCAGATCACATGTTACTCGTTTTTGATTTACGACAATTAAAAGCGGGATGTCATTTATTTTAGGTCCCGACAACAACTATGATTCGAAAGCACATTTAAATGGCTCCCTATAAAGTCAACTAACTTTGCTATGTTTATCCACTTTTGCTGTGTCGTAGTAATACTATTTATTCAAAGAAATCCAAAACACTGAACTCAATTTTCGCAGATTCCCATTTTTACAACCATCCCTACATAAGAATTACACAGATTGAAAACAAAAGTTGAAGTCTCACTGTGATTGCGTAGTCCATCAGCACTTTCATTTTCCATTTTTCATATGTGTTGTGTAGTCTTTTATTATAAACTAGAAGTAGAAAGTGTTGCGAACCACGCGATCATATAAAAATACTAATTTGTAAATTCTACAATAGGCGAGTTTTGGACAAAAAATAATTGCAAAACCTTGAGCTTTTGAAAAACAGGTACGAAAATAAAAGACCAAAGAGAAAAATGTTGATTAATCTTTAAATTTCATATCTTATAGTAGAATATAGGTAATATAAAATGCAAAAATTTCATTCATGGGATCAACTTGAAATATACGTTATTTTCAAGGCCGGTAACCTTGTATATCGGTCCTGGTCCTTTCCATGTATCCTTTTATTTTGTTTCATGGTCAAAGTTTCGTCAATTTTCTGTTTCTTCAACTGTTTTGCCTGCAGTATGTTCACTACCACCCGAATATCTTACATTATACAATACGACCGTATACTTTGACACATATATATTTGCACTTAACCGCATTAAATGTTTATGCTATCCTATATATCTTGAAACAACATAAACATTAACTGCCTTTACACACCACTAACGTGTTAACACTTCAGTCACGGTCCATGACTAACATTAGTGTGGGTCAAGCACTATCAAGTATAATTAATTACTTAACAGTGAAACCTAAATATACACGATGAATCAGGTTACAGTTTTCATAGGTTTGAAAAAAATTTTCA